AGTATTCATATCATCTGGTTTCAATTTGTGTTTCAATTCATGTGATGATTAACAATTACAACAATTTCTCATGACTTACACAGTTATTGGCCTTTTTTGTCATTGAACATGTCATGCCAATGATGTTATACAGATGAAGACTAGTTGGACTGCTTTGACGACATAATTGCGTATGTTTTGTTTCCTGTAAATCTGTCTTTATAAATGATGAGCTATTACTATTTTTAGCCATTCGTTTGTGCTCCTAGAGCCACTACACAGGCCCCAGATCGATACATTCGTACACAGGTCCTGCGAAATCGAGGACAAACGGCTAATCAGCTTTCTGCAAACTTGTACCAAGTTACAGGAATTCGAGTTACACCCCAAACAATTAGAAATCGGCTACATGCAGCCCATTTGCATGTGCGATGACCACGTGTTGTGCCTCCATTAACTCGCCAGCACATGGCAAACAGGCGTCAATGGTGTAGGCAGCGTAGAAACTGGTAATCGTTGATGGCCGTGTGTAATGATTTCACCGATAGGCGTGCTCGCCTTTGGAGGCATGTAAATGAGCGTCATGCTAACGTTAAGGTGAGACAGCATGACAGATTCGGGCATGGGTCTGTTATGGTGTGGGGAGGAATCCGCCATGACTGGCAGAATGGACTTGCATATTGTTCAAGGAAGGGTCACTGGTGTGTACTACCGTGACCACATCCTGGCACCGATAGTTCTGCCCTTTGCTCAACGTGCAGGTCGACGTTTCATCTTTCAAGATGATAATGCTCGTGTCGTGAATGACTACCTCCAGCATCACCATTTTGTCCATATATGCCTTGGCCAGCCATGTGTCTTGACCTTTCCCCTATAGAGCATGTCTAGGACATGATCAGGAGACGTGTTCGTTGACGTCAACGTCAACCAACAACACTGCAAGAATACAGTTGTTTATAAACGCCAATCCCAGTACACCTATGCTACAGAATTCTGTGGAACCTATGTATGCATGTGTATTTAGTAGGTGTAGTAGGCTTAATTAGTTTTCCATGTAGTCACGTATGTTTCATAATTAGATATTGACACCTTGCCATTATTATTATTACTATATCATATTGATTGATTGACAGGTATTGTAACGCTAATCAAGTAATAAAGGTAGCACAATTAACTCAGATTTCCATAGACACTTGCTATATCTATAAATTTTGAGCTGTAAATTATGATGTAGCCTGAAGGAGGTTATTTTAGTCAACAAACTGTAAATGCTTTATAAATGTAACAAACTAAACATACTAATTTTCAAACAGAAATATCTTGTGGTCAAATGTGCAGTTACCATAAAGATGCCATACCAGCTCCAGCAGTACTGGATCAAGATACATTGGGGATACAGGCACACACAAGTAAATGAGAGGCCCTGCCCAGACTCCATCCTACTGCATCCCAGATATATTTGAGTAAAAAAAACACTAGACTGATAGATATTTTTTTTATCCAGGTCAGCTCTGTGATCAACCAGCTATATTTTCCAAACCTTCAGCTGCAGCCTTAATAACACTGTCTATGAGCTTTCACTATTGCAGATGTCACATTTATCAGGACACTCACTTCAGTAAGCACTAAGCAATAGGTAAAATCCTCTATTTAAAGAAGCTAATTAAACTTCTCTGATTTACATTAAAATAAAGTATTGGAGATAGTTGGTCTGATGTGCTATTGTATTAGTAATGGGCCATGTTCTATTTCTAGATGTCCACTGTTAAATGAAAACAGATTGTCATACAAAAAAAACAACAAATCAACACATGCAATCCAATGAAAGCAACAATTGTATTTTTGAAAAAAAAATCAAAGATATGTAAGCAATTTTATTTACGTAAACCCCTTTTTATTGACAATTCTGAATTGCTTGATATTATGACTAGAAATCTTTAAAGAAGTAGTATAGGCTATTTGAGTTTCTATTTTGGCCTCCAATTAAGTTGAAAAAAGTGTGCCTAGTCATTTCGATGGTATGAAATACAGGGTGCCATCAATATGCACTTTACCATGCTTGTAAAATAATCCAGTGCAGTTGGAATTCGAAGAAGAGTACCTGGAAATACTGCTGTTTGAGCAAATTTTTTCTCCCTCCAGTCACAAATCCAGAAATAAAATTTACCATATGTTTGTCTGAAAATGACTATGTTGTCAAGATTTGAAACCGATTCCATTCCATTTTTTGTTGATTTTGATTGGCATGTACCCATTAGTATATCCAGTGCTTCTAAAATAGAGAGCCAAAACCCCTTACTATATAGTACAAACATAAAACAGAATGGTGTGTTATTATTAAGAATGAGATGTATACCAATGGTAAGTATTGTTTAGATTAAATAGAAGAACCAATATGTAATGTATTACATAGATTACATCTGTTCTGTTGTTGAACCACTGTTTTTATTGGTACCATTAACTATCTATTTTAAAGGAACACTCCCAAGATTTGGTTGCATACACATTGTCTGGGGGGAAGAATTCAGATCTTGATTTGAAGGTTTAGGTAAAAACTTGATATGTACACCACAATTTGGTAATCTACATCAGAGTGCACACTGCTTGTGACGAAATATTGCGGATTTGAAAAGGAATAACAATACTTTTTTGACATAATAATATCAGTTGTTACGTTGTTCTCTTTTTACCAATGTGTAAGTGGGGGGCTTGTATTAAGTTGTAAAAAAGATGGAGATGATCAGTTTAGTCAACAACATTTATATTAGACTTCTATTCCAATATATTATTCCATGTAAAATATATTTTTGTATATGTATATTGATGTATGTGTATGTTTTGTATACTGTTCTTAATGGATGTAATATGCAAATAAAGAAGTTGAAGTTGCTTATGGAACACGTGACTAGGGAGGAATCATTATTTTAAGTGAACACATCAGGTCACAGCAGTGCCACCAAACAGACCTCTTAGAAGCCTTTTTTTGTCCTTATAAATTCACCCTGAACAAAGTCATTTAGAAAACATTATTAAATTTAACAAAATAATTTACAATCATTTAATATACAAACACAATCATTGCGACAATTACACAGATGTTACCTATTTAAATCATGTTCTCATGTAATGTCACACCATATTTATATCATGTTCTCATGTAACGTCCTACTGTTCAGCTCCAACAGGGCTTGTGAAGACAGGCATACACGGCATGCAGTGTGCTATGAAGGAAATTTTGCCGGCACAGCAGCACTATGGCCTACTCTTATATCGAATTTTAACTGCCAAGGGATCTTTTACGTGCGTGCCACTGTGTACACGGGACCGCAGTTTTGCATCCCATCCGAATGACTAGACTGCTGTCCTTGTCAGGCCCTCCGTCCTGCACCACTGACAAGGGGAAACCACATTGGAAAATCCCAATGAACTTTCTCGGCCTGTTCTAATGTAATGTCACCCCATATTCATATAATGTTCTGATGTAATCTCACCCCATGTTCTGATAAAATTTTACCCCATATTTATATCATGTTCTGTCAACCATTATTTGTGTGTGGATAAATATATTAATAAGCCTTTGAAATTTAAGAAAAATAATTTATAGTAACGCTTATCAGGTCATATCATCAAAGAATGTCAGGAAAGAACCTTTGACGATCTTTTGGGAATGTCTCAATATTGAAACTTTCACACAGGGTAAATAGGCTATTTCTTTCAATTTTGGCATTTGATTAAAAATTTTGAACCCACCTGTACAAGCCTGTGAAATCTGGAACTACGCCTTTAACCATGTAGCAATAGTCTTATTATCAGGATCTCTTGTGCCATTCAAATGGGCATTGAGCAGTGATAAGCCTACTATTTTCTCCACACATAATAATCTTTCATTTTTAACCAGTAAGACAAACATGAGTAAATGCCTTTTGGTGAATGATCGAACTAACTTTAGCAGTGTTATTACAATTAGCAATATATTTTGGGTCTTATTTATTTTTCTATCTCTGCCAGGAAAAAAGGCAGACATAATTCTATATTGGATTAAGTAGAGAATAGCATTTGTTTATCTGTGTAGGCAGTTAGGGCAAAATATTTGGCATAACAAATACAAGATGGAGAGAGAGAGGTTAATATCTACTCAACACTAAACAGATCAAATCAGGACAAAGATATAATATTTTTTGTCCCCTGCCTTTTGAACAAAACAGGGAACTAATAAAATGGGTTTATCCATCTGTCGATGCAATAACTCTCTGCCTTCTGATGGTATATTTATGTCCCCTGCCTTTTGAAGAAATGAGTGGACTTTCAAGATTGTTATCTTCTTCTGTCTGTCCATCCCTCTTTTTGGGACACAAGAACTCTGCTTTTAATTGAGCTAGAATGTTCAAACTTGGTTTAGATGTTTATTAGGTGAATGTCATGATAGAGTGTGATGATAAGTATTTTCCTCTAAGATTAAGTAGGGATAAATAATTTGATTGGTTGAGACTTGGAAATACAATAACTTTGGCTCTAATTGAATGAAGGGTAAACCACAAAGTATAGTTTCATTACATCAATACCTCACAGATTTGATTGAAATTATGCTATTGGTTCATATTTTCACTGACTTGAATTGGCAGGTCATTTCCTTCAGGTGATGCAGGCTACGTGACAATTGTGATGGGATAATTCTGCCAAAGATCTGATATCTGTTTATTGAAAAACATTGTATTATGATAGATAAACTTTGTGGTCTTGCATTTCTCCTGATGTTTCAACATGTCACACTGACTTAAAATCTGTTTCATTTATCTCTTTGAGAAAGACATGCAATTTAATTAAACTATTGATAATAGAAATTTAACCTACAACATTTCAAAATGTTAATGTGTTCTTTAGACTACTGTGATTCCCCATTGATTTCTCTATAAAATAGCCTGCCGTTTTGCTTCAGACCATGTCTGGTAAACCTGCTGTACAGACCACAGACATTGTTAATTGCTATTTGAAGATCATTTTTCTCTTCTTTCTATTTTCAGTCACGGAAGGTGAAATAAGGCAGTGGTAAGTACAAAGTGTATGTTCATTATAAATTACTGTTAAACTAAGAAGACTTAAAAAACTATCAGCTCCTACATCTTAATCATCATAGATTCTAATCCACTGAAAATCTCATTTTTAACTGCAATATTGCAAAAAGCTGTTCAGAAAACATTTTCGTCTCTTTTAACAATTATGACACCATTTATCTTCCTTTGTTTTGTTTTTTTGTGCCACTTTCCAATACTTTTAATCTCTCACTTTATCTCTTATGCGAAGCCAATTCTCACAGCATGCAAAATATCCATTAATCTTTTTTACTTCTGCCTTGTGCTTCCAACAAATATATCTAATGTTGGCTGGTGGATTTTGGCATCTGATAGTTGAGAGTTTACATGAGATTTAGGGAGATAGTCTAATAAGATAATGACTTGTATATTACATTACACTGCTTTTAGGTAGTAAACTCTTGGTTAACATGCTTAAAATGTCATGGTCAACAAATCCACAGGGAAGACATAAGTGACTCCTCTTGAACTTAAACAAACATTATGCAAGAGCTAAATCTGCCAATTGCAGGTCTTTGTTTAGGCCTGAAATGTTATCTAAATTATTAATTAGACATTAATTAACTTATCATGACCATAATCAACTGTCGATGGCATCACTAGCTGGCGATATTTACTGGATTAGAACCCGGTCTGCTGCTTCTGATTAAATCAAAAAATGGATAATCGAGACTATGTTTTTTATCGTACTGACTTTAGTAATGATGATCGAGACTAGGCCCAAAATTCAATCACTGAATACTTGGTTCAGTGTGGATCAATTTGACTGAAATTTTCAGCAAATTCCCTTTACATTATCTAGTTTTTAACTATTATTGTGAGAACTACCAGCTCTTTATTTAATCTCCCATAATGTATCTTTAAGATATCTTAATCTGACATAAAACTTTACATTTTCACAAGGGCGTGGATTTGTCATAACTTTTGAGGGGGACGGACGAACCCTGGAACCTTTCATTACCAAACCAAAATAATAATTACGAACAGTTGACCAGTGTTATTTCGATGAAAGTTGTAACTAGGGGTAATATGATGATGATATGGTAAAATTGACTACCTACAATTAAGGAGGAAGATATCGTGAAGATGAATTACTGTGGCTAGACCCAAGCAGTGGTTAGATAGCCTTCAGAACGGGACATTCATGTGGATATAAACCTGAAAATCCGTCCTGGCGATCAAAATCATGGGGGTGACAGAGACCTATTCGCCCCCCCCCCTTCCGATTCTAAGAGGGGGACCCTTCCCCCCATCCCCCCCCTAAATCCACGCCCATGCATTTTCATGTTTCATATGATTTTGTGAGAGTTGGACGGCCGAATGGTTGGCATGTGAGCGGTGTATCATAAGGTCTGTCATTAAGCCAACTGGCGTGGTTTTGATTCCCCGTTTGTACTAAACAAGGAGTAGTGTCTGTCTAAAATCGTGGGTTTTCTCCGGGTTCTCCGGTTAGTCCCGAAATGACCTAGTTTGTGATGAATGGACGTTAAACCCCATTTCTCTCTCTCTCTCATATGATTTTGCCCATTTTCTCCAATGCACTAAATTGGTACAGTAGTTGCTGCAAAAAATGTGTTTTTCTTCCCTCGCCATTATGATGCATTGTTTGTCTGTGTAATGCTAACACAGTTACATGGGACAACAATCACTGCTTGTTGACCGTTTGTAATGATATCAATATTGGCATACCTATGAGTGAAAAATCCAATGTAATTGAGTTTTACCATTGTATCCTTTATATCTTGCAACAAATTTGCATAGCAATGAAATTAAACTCTGCAAAGTAAGATATGGTCATTAGTTTATTAACAAATTTAAAAAGTTGATTTGTATTCAGAAATTGCAACATTGGCGCCACCAAAATTTCATGAGTTATTTCTATTAAATTACAGATTTAAAGCCTTAAGCATTATTCTGATCAGGAGCAGTCCATTTTTTCATCCCCATTTTCTTTTTAATGTCAACATAAGTTAGAATAACATCTAAACAGCTGCTACCAAATATAACTGTACTGGTAGATTGTCTGTATTTCTTCCACAGATGGTTACATCTAATTTATTCAACTATTTCACATGTCAAGATAGATATTTTACTGCCAAATGAGGAAACTTTTTTACATAATTTTTAATAACAAATGCTGTTGATAAATTTCAGATGACAAGCCACATATTTTATTCTCTAATAAGGAGATTTTTCATACAGTTTTTAATAAAAAAAAAAGTGCTGATGATAAATATATTTTGCAATAATTTCCTTTGACAGGTATAAAGGTTTTATGAAAGATTGCCCAGATGGGAAATTAACATTAATAGTAAGTAATTTTCTTTCATATTTTGATAATGGACCTTTGTGGCGTGGAGGGGTTTGGTAATGCCACTGTAGGACATAGAAAATCTACTCCATGTCATGTACAAGTGAGGAATCGAAACCATGCCACTTGACTCAATAATAGACCTTTTGATTCAACATTAACCATTCGGCCATCAAACCCCACCTTCCACTTTAAGCCACTGTCACATCTTGCGGTAATGTACGTAGTTGTCTGTTGTGGGGGATGACAGTAATTGACAATAGTAGACTGTAGTTGACCTTAGTTACACATGGTAAACCGTAGTTCAAAATAGTTATAAACATAGTTTGAACTTCAAGAAATCCATGATTTGACCGTGGTTAGCCCCAAAATGTTCAACATCTTCAAAATATGTCTATGGTGGGTAGGTCTTTTAAAGGGACAACAAGCCAAATTGTTGGCATAGATATATCAAAAGTCTAAATGGAAATGCATTTTTAAGACACATAACCGACTCTCCAATTTTGAAGATCCTTATCACTTTCTGCTGATATGTCCCTTATATTCAGATGCACGAAATACAACCATAAAAACATTACCAACAGAATACACCAACACAAAATTTCTATTGTATGGCTCTACGGATATTTCAGTTGAACAAAATAAATTAATATTTACTTAGGTGCAAAACTTTTTAGAATTAAGTAATAGATTTTAAGTACTGAAATCGTCATTTATCATTACCATCACTAGATTCTGTTTACATATTTGTACACTTTCAGGCCTTAAACCAAAACTAGTCATTATGTATATCAAATAAACTTTTTATTTGAAAAAAAAAAAATATTATTGTATACTTTCAGAATTTTAATAATTAAACATACATTATGCAAGAGATAAATCTGCCTATTGCAAGTCTTTATTTAGGCTTCAGATGTTATAGAAATTATAAATTAGACCTTTATTTACACGACAAACTTAAAATCAACTCTGTAGATGCACGGATGGCTTGGATTCCGTTTGGATTTAAACAGCCTCGTCCATTTCAAATTAAATCAATAAATGGCGGACCAAGCTAACGTTTACTATTACTCGCTGATGTCACAACCGGAAACTGGTAATGAAAAGCCTGCCAAGCGAGACTACCATAGCCATTGAGCATGTTACTTGATATTTGGGTGGAGTTATCGTTTGTCAATCAAATGATCGCCAATTCTTATAGACAGTGAAGACAGAATTGATGCCTATTCATAGGCGTACAGGGAAATTTTTGACTGGGGGGGGGGGGGGCGGTGGTGGTTGGTGCCCCAAAAATGTAGTTAGGTTCTTAGTATGTTACATAATAATAATAATAATATCTCTTTTGCGATGAATAAGTTCTTAATTTCTAAATCATCAATAAAAGAGAACTAAATTTTATTTACTTGTAATATACACAACTAAAAACAGTTGTTTATGTAGCTGTAACTCGTGGCTTACTGTACTCCAAACAATAGAGGGTTCGAGTCTTAAGATTTCTATTTAATTGCCTAACTATAGACACTATAGTGCCTATTTCTAGTCCAAACTTCTAACAGTGACAATTCCGTTCAGAACAAAGTAATTTGACTGAAATTTTCAACATTTTCTTTTTTTTATCATCTATTTTTGAATTATTATAGCAAGAATGGCCAACTCTTTATAAAACTCTTAAATAATGTATCTTTAATAACACAATATGAATAGTTTCGACTATATACATGTATTTAAGTAAACTAATTGTAATTATATTGTTTTGTTGAAGGGAGAGGGGTGATATAGGCCTAGCCTGTTCCCCAATCCTATTCTTATTGAATAAAATATAGTTTTAAAAAAAAAAAATATCAAAGGTCTAAAATATGTACCGGTACTTTTATAATGTAAAGACAGTTGTTATTATGTATAATTCAGCATGCCCATGTATAAAAAAAATGACCAATAGCAAAGTATTTACTGACTTGTACAAAAGCAAGATTCATTTCTTCAAGACACATAAAAATGGCAGAGAGAATCAATAGAAACAAGTATAAACTTTATCCGACCATAAATTTGAATTGATTGCTTTGAATAATTTGGGACTAATACTTTAGCTATTTTTTGTGACTGATAATGCCATTATTCAATTTGAGGTTCAATGTCTTAACGGAACAAAATGAAGTGTAAATAACTCTTTATTGAATCTTTATTTATGTATATAGGAGCTTTAATTATGATGACAGTAACATGATGCCATTATTCAATTTGAGGTCCAATGTCTCATGCATATTAACAGAACTTTAAATGAAGTGTAAATAACATGCAGCATAAGATCATGAATCTGTTTTGGATTTTAAATTATTACTTCTCCTACCCACAATTCTGGCATTGAAATATAAAATTCAGACAATCTAATTAAATTATAATGTTGATGCACTTGCTCTCAGTCTAAAAAAATAGATGTATATCTAAATTAAATTACAAAATGAAATAATTAGGTTATTTCTACTACTGTAAATTGAGTATATTTAGCATGCCATTGATTCGTTTTGGTTAAAGTGATATTGCAAGTATTGCAACCAAGTTTTAACCCTTTAATACTACTATATTCCACAGCAATATGTGAGGGATACTTTTTTATACGCCCACATTTTCATGTGGACGTATATTGTCGTCGCCCCTGTCTGTTCGTCCGTCCATAATTGTTTATGAACAGTCTACAGGTCACAATTTTTATACGATTTCAATGCAACTTGAAATATAGGTTTATCACCTTAAGATCTCGGTTCCTTTTGATATTGGCATGTATCGGACTGTAACTTCATGGATTATGGCCCCCGATTGTACGAAAAATCATATTTTTAGCTTGTGAACACTGTAGAGGTCACAATTTTTATCCGATTTGGTTTAAACTTGAAATGTATGCTTATAACCCAAAGATCTCGGTTTCTTTCGATATTTGTGCATATCGGAGCGTAACTTCCTGAATTATGGCCCCTGATTGTACGAAAAATCACGTTCTTAGCTTGTGGGCCCTATAGAGGTCATAATTTTTATCTGATTTAAAAAAACGTATTATTATATCACCGTTACACCCTAAGGACGAATGAGTTCGAATTTCGTGAAAATCAGCCCAAAACTGACCGACAAAATGGCCTCCCTTCGTTCTCAAATAGCGTAAAAATATGGTATATCAAGGTTGTGGACCCTATAGAGGTCACAATTTTTATCCGATTTTGTTGAAATTTGAAATATAAGTTTATAACTCAAAGATATCGGACCGTAACTTCCTGATTTATGGCCCTTGATTGTACGAAAAATCGCGTTTTTAGCTTGTTGACCCTATAGAGGTCATAATTTTTATCTGATTTGACAAAAACTTATTATTATATCACCGTTACACCCGAAGGATGGCTTGAGTTCGATTTTCGTGAAAATCGGCCCAAAACTGACAGACAAAATGACCACCCCTCGTTCTCAAATAGCGTAAAAATATGGTATACCAAGGTTGTGGACCCTATAGAGGTCACAATTTTTATCCGATTTTGTTGAAACTTGAAATGTAAGTTTATAACCCAAAGATCTCGGTTCCTTTTGATATTTGCGCATATCGAATTGTAATTTCCTGAATTATGGCCCTTGATTGTAGGAAAAATCACTTTCGTTTTAGATTGTTCTCTATCCATCTCTCGAAAATGTGGGCGTATCCTGCCTGGCAGCCGCTGTTTTTTTTACAGAATCAAAATCGATACTCGCATGCCTGTCTTTTATTGCCTGTCATATAGCTTATTGCAAATTATACTGAGCGCCATGGAAAACGCATCACTTAGTTTTTCGTATAACAAAATGATCCTGTAAACATATCTTATTTATTTTGCTTCTTATTGTGAACAATATTCAAATGGGAACACATCCATAACAACACATTTGTACACTTATGGATGTTTAATCTGTAATCAAGGGTACAAAGTCAGAGGGGTCAAAACCAAAAGTACGAAACAGATGTCAGTAGCGCGTGTGTCCTCCACGGGCTCTTACGCACACTGTGCAGCGACGTCGCATGGAATTTACCAATGTTTGAAGGAAGGCCTGGGGCAAATTGTTCCATTCTTGGAGAAGAGCAGCTTCTAAAGCAGCAATGGTGTGCATCTGTGGTCTCCGATACAGACGGCGTCCAATCTCATACCAGACATGTTCTATCGGTGCCATGTCCGGAGACATGGCTGGCCAGTCCTAGACATTGATGTTGTTAGCAGCCAGGTAGTCCATACTAAAACGGGCGGTATGCGGACGTGCATTATCCTGTTGGAAGTGCTGAAGTTGTGGGTGTGCTCGAAACATCGGAACAACAATTGGTTGCAAGACATCATCACGGTAGGCTACAGCATTAACGTGACCCCTGCAAATGTGTAGGGCGGTCCGGTGATGAAATGTGAAGCCTCCCCACACCATACACTTCCCCCACCCCATCGATTCGTTTCGAAGATGCAGCAGTCTGCAAGACGTTCCCCAAGACATCTCCACACACGTTGACGGCCATCAGCGTGATAAAGATTAAAGCGACTCTCATCACTGAAGAGCACACTTTGCCAGTCTACTCTTCTCCATGTCTGGTGTCCTTGAGCCCATATCAAATGCCGCTGACGGTGATGATCTCTGAGGATAGCTCCAACATAAGGTCGTTGGCACGGAGTCCTACTTCTCTTAGACGACATCTTACGGTGTTGGCACTTACTGGTCCTTGTCTTCCGACGACTGCTGCACCTGTTCGAGTCGCTGGGCGGAATCTCTCACGCAGATGAGTGACCCGGATGTAGCGGTCTTGAGCCTGGGTTGTAACGCGTTGTGGACCAGGACGTTGACGGTCACGTGTTGATCCAGTAACTCGAACACGTTCCACCAACCTTACAATAGTGGACTGATGACAATTGAAGTGTCAGGCAATAGCACGTGTAGACATGCCAACCCTGGACATTCCCATGACTTCATTCCGTTGATTTTTGGTAAGCCTCGGCATCTTTAGCTCG